CTACGCCAATTCCTGATCTCCTGACGAGGTGCGTGGTAGAAGTCTTGAACATGGGTCCGGCTGCATTGGCAAGATTGCGGAGTCAGAACTTAGCCTGGGTCTTGGAGCGGAGGGAAGCTTTGGCAGCAAAGGAAGCTCAGTTGCACGACACCTTGCACCCTGACATTGCCACTTGTTTGCGAGGCAAACAAACGTGCTTGTGGGAGGAGCTCCTTTCGCATACCTGCTTTCCTGACGACTCTCTTGTAGCCGAGGTTCGACAAGGGATTGAAGTAGTTGGGCCAGCAGATTGGTCGCCGGTTTTTAAAAGGGGATACAGTGCCCCCGAGTTAACCGTAACCGAAGACCAATGGTTAGCACAGGCTGTTTGGAGGCGTTGCGGTGGCAGCTTGCAAGCCCGACGAGGACCAAGACCTTGTCGAATCTTTGTGGCAGCAAACATTGGAGGAAGCTGAAGCCGGTTGGATCAAGGGACCATTCCTTTCCGAAGGAGAGGTGACCGCAGAACTTGGCGTAGCCAACTGGGTTTGCACAAAAAGATTTGCCATTAGACAAAATGATAAAGTAAGGGTCATAGATAACGCAAAAGCTTCAGGGATCGACGCTGCGTTCTCGACATACAAGCTGATCATCATCATCCAACGGCACATTCGGTGGCTGTGACACCGGACTTCCATGTGCAGACATTTCTGCAACAGTGTGGTATTGGGCTCGTAAAATCAAGACAGGATCACAAAGGCTGATCAATCAAGGTCAATGCAATGCGTAGCTCTCCTAAGCCGGTGCTTGAAGACGTTCCTTCCTACAACAAACCCAAGGGCAAAGGTCCTCCCTGCTGCCCAGTTGTTGAAGCGGATGCACTGCTGATCACTCAACACACGATTAGCCAATCTAGTGACCTGAGACAAGGAAGTCGCGGCCTCAACAGTGTCTTTGTGCCTTGCAAGATAAGCTGCTTGCCTCTTTCGGAAAGAGAAGACGCTCAGACTCGGAGTTCGCACTTTAGCGGCAAGCTGCAACCGAAGCAGATGCAGGAAGCGGGCTTTAGCCTGACTAAGCAAAGGGTCCTTGTCCCACGCGAGCACAAGGGGAGCTGCCGTGGCTGCTACGAGCTACCCAGCTACACTTCGCCGAAGAAAGGAAGACACCGAAATCAAAGACAGGTTTCCGCACGCTGGTCCCCGAACAGAGAACCAACAAGAAACCCGACGTGAGAAGCACTGGTCGGCCAGTGCTCCGCTACCATGAATGTTTTCACCCTTGAAACAAAGCGCCTGCGATACGACATAAACTCAGCACACATGCAATGGCGGCAAACTTGCATGACTGGAAAATCAAAAGAGAGAATAGGAAAAATGTTTCACAAAACCTACTCCTCAAAACTACAAACTCCTTCCTTCCTTCCTGGGTGCAGGTTACGTAAAACACAAGCAAGATCAGACAGATCAGACATATCAGACTCCATCCGCACCCACAGAGCATCCGTGGGCCAACCATGATCAAGTCCAGATCAGACTCCATCCGCACCCACAGAGCATCCGTGGACCAACCATGATGACGTCCAGATCAAACTGATCAGACCTGCAGACTCCATCCGTGGGCCAACCATGACCAAGTCGAGATCAAACTGATCAGGACTCCATCCGAACCCACGGAGCATCCATGGGCCGTCTCGCAACAGTGCAGTGGCGCGGGACACCAAGAAAATCAAGTATGTAGTTTAAAGATAAAGTATCCTCACAATTATCTTTCAATCCAAATGCTTCCACTATTTCAAAATCACTCTTCGCAATATCTTTGAGGCAATCACTTCGCACGGACACTCTCAGCACACACTGTTTTCACGCTTGCGCAAGGCCTGAAGCCAACGGGGTCGTTCAAGGATTCACGTAAGGCTACAGCGCGGCCCGTCGTCAAAGGAAATCAAGATTGCAAATGTGCGTAGCGCGAAAGCTCATACACTGGACACGAAGGTCCTCGCACAATCTCGACCCCCCCACAATCGCGATGGCATTATGGGGAGGGCGGGCCGGTGTGAAATTTCTGTATCCAAGTGCTCACATGTAACGCCGCGACACGAAGGAAGCTAGGAGACACGAAGGCCTCTGCACATGCATGTTGCAAGTTCGCTGAGCACTCAAAGCAGCCGGTCACGCGGAAGTTCGTCAATTGAGCACTTCAGCAAAGTCTGGCTTAGCAAAATTGGATACAACGCAAATTTCAAAAAAGCTAAATTCAAAGTGAGCAAATACCCTGAGTTCAAAAGCGCTTACCAAATAGTAACGCACTCGAACAGCATGCCCAATTTGTAATGTTGAAGTAGCGTGCGCGCACGCGCCCCCCCCAGCTCCATGCACCGCCGCAAGATTGTCCTATCACCTCCGGTGAGGGGGTCCATCTCGCAACGGTGCAGTGTCGCGGGACACCAAGAGAATCAGGTATGTAATTTAAAGATAAAGTATCCTCACAAGTATCAAATGCTTCCACTATTTCAATCCCACTCTTCACAATATCTTTGAAGCAATCACTTCGCACGGACACTCTCAGCACACATTGTTTTCACGCTTGCGCAAGGCCTGAGGCCAACGGGGTCGTTCAAGGATTCACGTAAGGCTACAGCGCGGCCCGTCGTCAAAGGAAATCAAGATTGCAAATGTGCGTAGCGCGAAGGCTCATACACTGGACACGAAGGTCCTCGCACAATCTCGACCCTACTTTTCGACACACCCCCGAGCCATGATATCCAAGAACGATCTGCCCTTAAGCAGCGCAGCGACGGCAGGAGGTTGCCACGGCTTTTCAAGTTCACAAGCAAACAGTGTGGCCGCTAAGTCTCGAAGGCAGGTCCGCTGGATTGCTCTTAGATGGGATCCTGGTGGTCCACATTGAAAGGCGATCTGAATCCAAGCGTCGGGCGATCAAGGCCAACATGGCAAACACGTCTGCCACTTTGGAGCTGCCCTTAATCACAGCGTCGCGCACTCCATTATTATCAATGAAGAGAAGGATCCTTCGGCCTCGCAGCAGCTTTCCCCATCTCTCGAGAGTGACAAGCACGGGCCACAGCTCAAGGTGAGTGATAATCTGCTTGCGATCTTTCAGCGACACCCAGAAGGTCACAAGCTCATTCGGCACATCGATTTCAGCAACCACGCGTTGCTTCTCACAGGGTCAATCAGCACCGCCCCCGGCCCCGCTCCCAAAGAAGGCGGCGCGGCGATGCCGACGGCTCGTATGCACCATCAGTAAAGATCACGACTGGCGGTCGCGTGTCACTCACTCGAAGCACCCTGCTGGGTGACTTAGAAAGTGCCGCTGCTAGGTAGGCCATCACCCTCGCAAGGTCCACATCGGAAGTGCACTGCTCATCAGCCCATTTGCTCAAATAGGCCATGGCCGGTTTAAGCACGCAACCAAAAAGCTGGCCTTGCGCAAAGTTAAAACGGCCGTGCAAAGCAGCCGCCTCAGGTGGACTAATGCGACCCGCTCCTAACACCGCATCTATCTGACGAAGGAGGTCGCTTGTCCTTTCAGATTTGTTGCTCACCGTCAAGACGCCTTGGTGTGTTGATAGATTCCAGGTGCAATTCGTGAAATCGGCAAGCCGAGCTCTGCAGGCGTCGCTCGATGGCAGCGCGAAGAGAGTTTTTAGCCAAGGCACGGCCCACAGCTGTGACATGTGCCAGCAATGAGCCCCCGGGCACGCGAAAGATGGCACTATTGCGGGAGGTGATGCGATTGGCTTGGCAATACGCAAGGACAGCAAGCGGGTCTAGGGGGGGGCACTCCTAACAGGAATTGTAGGGCATTGGACAATGTCAAGCAAGCCTGCTGGACTGCTAACGCATTGCCGTGAATTCTCATAGAGGCAACGTCGTCACTAAGCAGAAGGCGCAAGCCTTGGGCGCCATGACAAGATGCTATCTCGGGTGCCGAAAAGAAGCGCACCGAGTCAGTGGTCCGCAACAGGCTACACAAATGATATGCGGCCATGAAAGTTTTTGCTTGTTGGGCAGGACTGCAAAGGCGAAATTGCTCAACTGTTGCCCGGTCCTGCGTCCGCCCTGGCGGCAAAAACCAGGGATCCAGGTATACTTCAAGGGTCTCAGAAGACTGGAAAGTATGCTTGCATCGCCGCCGAAGTAGGCCGTGGGAGCGGGGTCCATGTGGCGGTGGCTACAGTCGTAGTCCGCACTGCACCACCGGGCTACCAGCACAAAGGAACACTAGGAAACATCTATGGCGCCAAGTCGGAGCAACATCAGCAAGCTGGAAATCCCCTCGATGAACCAAAATATACCCGGAGTCCTCCCAAGCTTGTAGCACCTGTGGAAAGTCAGCATGTGTACTAAAACCCCGAACCTCCTCCAGGCACACCAAAGGCACCCTGACAATGCCCATCACCGCTGCAAGGCGAAGAACAATGCGTCCGTCTGGGGAACTTAAACCTGACTGCCAGCCCGCACTAGACCAAGGTTGGCAGGGCGGGCTGCACACCGCGACACGAGGAGGCAGTTGATCCCACACTTTCAGCCACCAGTCATGCTCGAAGTTAGCACTCATGCAACAGCACCACTCCGAGCGTGACCCCCAACGCATTGAACACCGGTGCGTGCTGCAGCGCTTTCTTGCCCGTGACGGCAAAGCGCCACCCCATCGCCTGCAGCAACCCTTCAAAGAAAGAACGGGCCGACTTCGAAGTGATGCTCGGCTCAACCCCAGGAAAATCATTGAAGTAACACTTGACCCACAGCTTCCCCAGAGAAATTGCCAGATGCCACAGTGAAAGAGCCGCACGGTTGAACGAGTATACGCTCGCAGTCGTGCCGAACATTAGCGAGGTGGCCACGAAGTATACTGGTTTGTGGTGCCGCGGCGACCACACAACTAGCGGTCGCACTTGAGGCCTGCTGGGATTCATACCCATCTGCTTGTAAGCAGCCGTAAGGTCCAGTGTGCGGCCTACCAAGTGTAGGTTGTTCCTCCACGATGAATGTGGAATGCACTCGAGTACTTCACCGTCAGACAAAATATCTTTCGAAGTGGCGCCGGCAGAGGCACACCGCACCACAAGCAGAATCAAGGATATCAACGTGTCTGCGTCCATCAGCTGCAGCTTGATGATGACGACCTTGGAGATCCGCAGGGTGCTTCGTCTTCGCAAGTGCCAGGGTTCCCTGCAGGTCCCCTCCCACAGGCTCCAGGGTCGCAGCTTGCTGACATGCAGGCTATGCAGACGATGCTGATGTCGCTTGCTCAGACTGCGCAACAGTGGGGGTTTTACTTTAGCTAACAAGGTTCTCAAGTATCCCGAGCCGTTTGGCACTGAGAATGCCGATCAGGATGCGCTGGGCTGGCTAGCCTGGTCCACCAGTTTCCGTAACTGGGTTACTTTTGCAGAGCCTGCTTATGAGAGCGATCTAGCAGAAGTAGAGCAACGCTTGACTGAAGTGCCTCACATTGCCAACATGCCACCTGTGTGTCTTGAGAGGGCGCGGAAGCTGTATGTGATTTTAGGTTCTGTCTTGAAGGGAAGGCCTCTTGCAATACACCGCGGCATTGAAGATCGCAATGGGTTCGAATGCTGGCGGCAGTTAACCTGCCAATTTAGCCCGAGGACGCGTTCCAGGTCGCTTGCGCTGCTGAGTGCAGTGATGGGGCTTCCAGCGTTCACGCGTGACCGTACGCTGCGTGAGCAACTCAGCAGCTTCGAGCGGTTGATCGCCGAGTATGAGAAGGCCTCCGGCAATGCGCTTCCTGGTGATGTCAAGCTGTCAGTTGTGCTTAAAGCCATCCCCAAAGCCCTGCAATCCCACGTGCACTTGAGAATGGACGCTTCTACGACTTATGAGGACGTAAAGAACCTTGTGCTGTCATACGAAGTAAGTACCACTAATTGGAGTGCCGCGCGAGTGCAGCAGGAGCTTGGTCTTGTCAGTCCCAACAAGGGCAGTGTTTCCATGGAGGTGGATCAAGATGGTTCCGTGGCCCAGATCAAGGGGTCAGGAGAAGGGCAAAGGCAAGAAGGGAAAGGATAAAGGGAAAGGCAAAGGTGATACGGGAAAATCTAAGGATACTCCCAGCCCTAAGGGTAGGCCCAAAGCCAAACCTAAGGCCTCCCCCGATGCCGAATGCCACTACTGCCACAAGAAAGGACACTACAAGAGGGATTGCAGAAAGTACAAAGCTGACCTTGCTGCAGGCAAAGTGCGTGCCATCACTGAGGATGATACAGCTGCTGGCGGAGATCAAGGATCACCGTCGCCCAAGGCAGCCGCCAAAGCAGCTGTGAAGCGCATCATGTTTGACATTCGTGCTGTGCCTGGCGATTCCACTTCCCACTCAAGTGTTAGAGCGATTCGTTGTGCAGATTCGCATGAGCCGTGCCAGTCAGATCCGTTTGCAGTTTCGGATGAGCCGTGCCAGTCAGATCCTTGTGCAGTTTCGCATGAGCCGTGCCAGTCAGATCCTTGTGCAGTTTCGGATGAGCCGTGCCAGTCAGATCTGTCCATAGGCCGCGTTGGGCCCACTTTGGTCCAGTGGCTGTCCTGCAGAATTTGACATAGCTAGCAGTGATCACGATGGCGACTGGGATCTCAGCCCTCTCTCGTCACCCATGCGGGTAGCTGCAGTCAGCCGTCACAGCTATGAACAGCAGTTGGAAATCTGTGTCGACACAGCCGCCGATGAGTCATGCCTGCCTCTTGACTTCGTGTGTGTTGGGTCTCATGCGTCAGGTGAACCGCCGCTTGTTGACTGCCAGGGCAACACGATTCACACCAAGGGCAGCCGATTGGCCACTTTGGAAGCTTCTGGGGTTGAGCTGAAGGAGCGCTGGGTTGTGTCGCCGGTTTCCCAGCCGATTCTAGCCACGGGCAAACTGCTCAAACAGGGCTGGAGGTTTCTTGACTTTGATGATCTTGGAATGTGCCTGACCAGCCCGTGTCATGGAGCGCGGATCCCTGTGGGTTTCAGCAACAACACGCTTGTGTGCAAGGGCGTTATACGCTCTATCAACGAGCCTCAGCCCTCCGCAGTTCGTGTTATCAAGGTGCGCTTGACTGGTCTCCTTGACCGCCTCATCCGCAGCGCAGACTTCTTTCAGGAGATTGCTCCAGGTGTGCATGCCACGAGCCTCACCTCGAAGCACCTTGTCGATTTGAGCCTGTATCTTCCTTACGAGGGTCTCGCCTACCGCGCCACTTTGATCAAGATAGATGGGGATTGGGTTCTTTCCGAGCTTTCATCTTCAATCGCCGACCTTGGCGAAGACTTGACCACTCAGGTTGCCGATCAGGAGGTGGAGATGATCGTGTTCGGTCATCGGGAGCCGCTGGCACCCAGCGACCTCGTATTCGCAACTGATGTGCCAATTCTTGATGCGCCGGCACCTGCGCCTCCAGAGTCTTCAGCAGATCCCGTGTTTGAGGATTTCTTCGGTGAGGCAGTACAGGAGGCCGATGTTGAGCTAGGCGGCGGGGCTGATGTTGAGTCAGCCGGCGGGGCTGCAGTTGAAGCAGCCGGCGGGGGCGAGGCACGCGATGGTGCCCTTGATGATGCCGTAATGCAGGGGGCACTCGCTGACGAACGCGAAGCCCAGTCAGACAAGATTGTTGTCGGTCAGTACTTCGCCGTGTGTGCCAGAGCCTCGGTGTCGGGAAATCAGGTTCGATAGCCGTGGTGTTCCGTAGGCTGTGCAACCAGCTTGACCGGCTTAAGCTGATGGAGGCGAGTCGTGCCGCTGAGGTTCCGAATGCACCTGTGCCCAATGTGCCGGCAGCTCCGAAGGAGCCCACACCAGAGCAACGACGAGCCCACGAGGCTGTGCACGCCCCATATGAAGCATGGTGCCAGCACTGCGTGGCCTTTAAAGCAAGGGATGACATGCACAAGGCTGCCAACACCGATCGCAAATTTCCTGTGATATCCTTCGACTATGGCTTCACTGGCCGATCGGAGGAGGATGGCCTTCACAACAAGCTAGCTTTCCTGTGTCTACATGATTCAGAGAGTGGTTGGCGAGAAGCCATCCCGGTGCCAGGCAAAGCAGGTGTGCATGATGGGATCAATGTCACCAGCTACCTTGCTGCTGAGATTTGCAGGTTGCTTAGCATGCTAGGCTACTCCAAAGTTGTGCTTCAATGCGATCCCGAGCCCACATGCTTGAAGCTACGCAATGAGGTGAGGCGCATGCGGCTACAGCTGGGTTTGCAAACTGATGTGCAGCAGTCAGCTGAAGAAAGCCACCAATCCAATGGAGGTGCCGAGGTTGCCGTGCAAACGCTGCGGCAGCAGTGCAACACTCTGTTCTCGATGTACGAAGCAGAGACCAAGCTCCAGGTCGCAACGGCCCACGCTCTCCACCCATGGTGCCTCCGGCATTCTTCTTGGATCCTGAACAGATTTGTGCTGCGACCCGGAGGGCTTACTCCTTTCGAGATCATACATGGCCGTCCTTACAAAGGCAAAGTGCTGCCGTTTGGCGAAACCGTGATGGGATTGGTTTCTCCCGGGCCCAAGGGCAAACCGCGGTTCATCCAGGCCATCATGATTGGAAAGTGCACGCCGGATGATGAGTTCATCTTGTGTTCTGGAGCAGGCAAGCTCATGTTGGCTCGCACCGTGCGCCGGCTTGCCACTGGCTTCACTCCAGCCTTGCACGACTCTGTCCGTGATCCTCCTTGGCGCCACCCTGGGTTTGTAGCGGGTTCCTTAGGTAGGTCCCGAGCCCAATGCAAGCCGAAGGTCATTCCGGCTGGCGGTGACGCAAGGTTGAGGATCAGCTTGGTGGGGTTTCCGACTTGCTAGGTGAGCTCGCGCCTTTGCCTGAAGGTCCTGGAGAGATCCCTGAGGATGCGCGCGATTACAGCCCTTGTCAAGAAGCCGCCTCTGATCCTGAGAGCTCCTCGCAGATGAGTGAGGATGACCCCGATGGTCACCGTTCCGGTGAGGCTGCTGCTCTCAACCCTGACGGCAATGGCGCCGCAGATCTTCCGTTGCAGCCTAGTGCTCCTGTTGCGCCGCCTATCGTTGCAGCGAGTGATCCTTTGGTACAAAGCAGTGCCAGTTCTGCTGGGCCTATGCCCGTTGACCCTGCCACCTCAGTTGCAAGGGAACGCCCCAGACCAGCAGGTGAGGAGGATGCTCCAGGCCCTGAGCCCAAACGTGCAAGGATTGCAGCCACAACTGTGTGCGGTGTGGAGTGCCACCATGCCGACGAGGATACTGATCTTGCATTCTCCCCAGCGGACATTGAAAGTATCAATGATCTTGACGGCCTGTGTTCGGGTGACGAAGAGGAGGAGTGTGAGCAAGGCCTTGCCCCTCCTGATGAGCTTTATCGGCCTTTCTCTCCACATGAGCCTTCCTTGAGCCCTGAGGAGCTTGCTGACCTCGATGCTCTGTGCGACCATCACGAGATAGCCCGGCTCAAGACTATGGGTGTGATCTACCAGCCTGAGTCAGGCAATGAGAACTGCAAGTCATTGACTGTGAAGTTCGTTCGCAGCTGGCGACCGAAAGCGCATCCGGTCACTGATGCCCCTGTCTGGCTCAGGAGATCTCGGTTAGTGGCTCGGGAATTCAAGTTCAGAGATTCCCTTAGGGAAGGGTTATACAGCCCTGCATCCCAAACCGTGCTGCTCAAGCTTCTGCCAGGCTTGTATATGTCTCGCAAGGGATATGCCTTGTTGTCTTGTGATATACCAGACGCTTATTTGACTTGCGAGCAGCCGTGCCCGACCGTGGTGACGCTCCACGGCACCACGTACCGTTTGGCATTTATGCTACCGGGGCAACGGGATGGGTCAGCGGTTTGGTTTTCCACCTTCACCAAGTATCTGGTTTCGGAGGGCGGAGTTTCGTTGTGGCCTGGATGCGAGGCGCTGTTTGCTATGCGTAACCACTCCGGCGGAGGACTCCTTCACGTAGACGACTTGTTGGGGTCAGGTGAATATGCTGAGCTACAGAGACTTGCGCAGATCACAGAGTCAAAGTACAAGTGCACTCTTGAGTGGCTTGTTCGCGAAGGCGACAGCCTGCACTTCTTGAAGCGCAAACACACTTTGGCCCGCCAGGATCTACTCTGCATCCAAAAGGCTGACACATCATGAAACTTGTTGAGCTTTTGCAGCTTGAGCGCCACTCCCCGAAGCCCACTCCATTGCCATTGCAGACGCTTGACTTGGCCAGGTCAGACCCTCTTCCAGAGGATCAGGTGTCGGTCTACAGATCGTGCATCGGGATTCTTATGTGCATCTCTGCGGACACTGCCGATATGCAACATTCCATTCGCATGCTCTCCCAGCACCTTGCCTGCCCAACCGAGGCTTGCATGAAGGCCCTCAAACACCTGGTTCGATATGCCAAATCAACCAGCGGGTTCTGCCTTGGGCTGGAGCGCACGAATGCAGGACAGGGCACTAAAGTCCAATGCGACACCGGCGCCGATGTGCTGGAGCTATACACGGACTCAGACTGGGCTTTTCAGATCACACTACACGCCGGAGCGTGAGCGCCGGGGCCTTGTACTTGAATGGGAATGCAATTTATACGGCGAACCGCACGCAACGAGTCGTAGCTATGTCAAGCTGCGAAGCAGAGCTCAATGCCCTTGTGTCTTTTGCAGTCGACTTGGTGTATGTGAAAGAAGCCCTGCGGTTCATTGTTGGAGTCACTCCCGAAAGCCATGCCTTCAGCGACTCCTCTTCAGCTCGTGCTGTTGTGAACAAGCAAGGACTCTCCAAGCTCAAACACGTCGAGATCAGATTGCTGTGGGTTCAACAGGCTTTGAAGGATGGTGCATTCAAACTCCACCCGGTCGGGACCCTTGACAACTCTTCGGACTTGATGACCAAGGTGCTTAAGCGTGAGCGGATGCTGTATTTGATGTACCTCTTGAACATCAGGGATGGTGATGCCCAGTTCAATCGTGTCGGAGAGGCCCAGGCCGTTGCTCGGGACAACAATCTGTCCTTGAAGCTCGCGGTTAAGGCAGTGAAGGCATTCAAGGGACCTCCGCAACGGGCGCACGCGCTCCTGCAAGCGCTGACCTTTATGTCCTTGATTGATGCCAATCAGGCACGCATGCTTGACTCCGAGAACCATCCGCATGTGCTTGAAAGCGCCTTGGGCGGTTGCGGATTCACCCTTGTGTGCGTCGGATGCCTCGCAGTGCTATGCATGAGCCTGCAGGGTTGCCAAGCTGAGATTGCAGACGAGCTCCCCGACCCATGGGTTGTATGGTTCACCCTAATCATAGGATTCCTCATAGGTCTAGGGTTTTGGTTTGTGTTGCTAGGTGCCGAGCCGCAGCAACAGATGCCTTGTGAACCTGACGATGCCACCACACCTGCTTGTGACGACGATGCGCCGACCTTGAGCGATGCCATTCCTTCAGATGGTGAACCTGCGCCAACGCCCGATGTGACCAGAGCATCCTCTGATGAGCCTTTGTCAGAACCAATGCAGAGCGATGATGGGGCAGGCGATGGCAACAGCCACCCTGCTTCACCCACTGCCCATGATCCGATCGACGAGCCTGAGAACCATGCCTTGGCAGCGGTGCCGATTGCAGTTGTTGATCCTCCTGGATTCCCTGCTGCTGTCGATCAGCTACTTGTGTATCATGCGCCGATCTCCGGGCGCAGATGGCATGTGTTCCGAGGGTGTTGGGGTTTGAGTAGAGCTACCGTCATTGCTGAGGAAGAGCTTGGTGTGCTTTTGCGACGCGATCCCAGAATCACGATGTGCTTGATCTGCATGAACCGAGTTCGCAATGACTTGCGATTCCCAATGCTTCGGATTACCGATGAAGCCGACGACCCACGCCGTGAACACCCCGAACCTGAGCCCTTCCAGTAGTCTGTGGTTTAGTCCTTTCTTGTAAAACAAGCTTGAGACTATCCTTGAGTTGCGACTTCAATGCACTTGTGAGGTTATCCAATGCTTTGGACGTCCATGTTACCAGCCATTTGGGAAGTCAGACCCACTTGGGCTGAAGAAGCCGATCTTGCTTTGCGCTATAGGCGATTGCGTGTTTCGACTTGGTGACTCGCGGATGTCACCGTTTTGCGAACTTGCTGCCCTAATCCTTGATGTCTTGAGCTAGCCAGCAGCGCTAGATTTTGGCACTACTCTTGAGAATGGCTGTTGGGTCTTTCTTGAAAGGGGCACCGGCCCTCTTACGCAGTTGAGCGCCGCTCCTGCAGCACAGGTGAGGTCCGAGGTCCGTAGCAGGCAGTGAAGTTTCACACCCGAAGCCCAGGACTGCGGTACGTCCGCGCTCGGCAGAGACGAACAGCAAAGTTCGGTGCGACTTTCTCGGCATGTGCATGGCGGCTTGTATAGGTTCCTCCTTTCTTGAAACTCGTTTGTCGAACATTTCGAGTTTTCCACTGTTGGCTTGTAAGCTCAGTGCTTTGTCGCAGTGACGAACACAAACAAACGCAGCACGAGGTCTTGAGGACTCATGTGCATTTGGGCGGGGTGCTTGTGTTTTACGTAACCTGCACTTGCACCCAGGAAGGAAGGAAGGAGTTTGTAGTTTTGAGGAGTAGGTTTTGTGAAACATTTTTCCTATTCTTTTTTTTGATTTTCCAGTCATGCAAGTTTGCCGCCATTGCATGTGTGCTGAGTTTATGTCGTATCGCAGGCGCTTTGTTTCAAGGGTGAAAACATTCAGATCTGGACGTCATCATGGTTGGCCCATGGATGCTCTGTGAGTCTGATCTGGACGTGATCATCTGTGGGGCCGGATGCAGTTTGATCAGTTTGATCTGGACGTCATCATGGTTGGCCCATGGATGCTCTGTGGGTTCGGATGGAGTCTGATCAGTCTGATCTCGACTGGTCATGGTTGGCCCACGGATGATGGAGTCTGCACGTCTGATCAGTCTGATCTGCACGTCATCATGGTTGGTCCACGGATGCTCTGCGGGTTCGGGTGGAGTCTGATCAATCTGATCTGGACTTGATCATGGTTGGCTCACGGATGCTCTGTGGGTGCGGATGGAGTCTGATCTGTTTGATCTGGACGTCATCAAGGTTGGCCCGTGGATGCTCTGTGAGTCTGATCTGGACGTGACCATCTGTGGGGCCGGATGCAGTCTGATCAGTTTGATCTGGACGTCATCATGGTTGGCCCATGGATGCTCTGTGGGTTCGGACGGAGTCTGATCAGTCTGATCTCGACTGGTCATGGTTGGCCCACGGATGATGGAGTCTGCGCGTCTGATCAATCTGATCTGGACGTCATCATGGTTGGTCCACGGATGCTCTGTGGGTTCGGATGGAGTCTGATCAGTCTGATCTGGACTTGATCATGGTTGGTCACGGATGCTCTGTGGGTGCGGATGGAGTCTGATCTGTCTGATCTGGACTTAATCATGGTTGGCCCATGGATGCTCTGTGAGTCTGATCTGGTCGTGATCATCTGGGGGGCCGGATGCAGTCTGATCAGTTTGATCTGGACGTCATCATGGTTGGCCCATGGATGCTCCGTGGGTTCGGATGGAGTCTGATCAGTTTGATCTCGACTTGGTCATGGTTGGCCCACGGATGATGGAGTCTGCACGTCTGATCAGTCTGATCTGGACGTCATCATGGTTGGTCCACGGATGCTCTGTGGGTTCGGATGGAGTCTGATCTGGACTTGATGATGGTTTGCCCACGGATGCTCTGTGGGTGCGGATGGAGTGTGATCTGTCTGATCTGGACGTCATCACAGTTGGCCCGTGGATGCTCTGTGAGTTTGATCTGGACGTGGTCATCTGTGGGGCCGGATGCAGCCTGATCAGTCTGATCTGGACGTCATCATGGTTGGCCCATGTTGGCCCATGGATGCTCTGTAGGTTCGGATGGAGTCTGATCAGTCTGATCTCGACTGGTCATGGTTGGCCCACGGATGATGAGTTTGATCTAGACGTCATCATGGTTGGTCCACGGATGCTCTGTGGGTTTGGATGGAGTCTGATCAGTCTGATCTGGACTTGATCATGGTTGGCCCACGGATGCTCTGTGGGTGCGGATGGAGTCTGATCTGTTTGATCTGGACGTCATCAAGGTTGGCCCGTGGATGCTCTGTGAGTCTGATCTGGACGTGATCATCTGTGGGGCCAGATGCAGTCTGATCAGTTTGATCTGGACGTCATCATGGTTGGCCCATGGATGCTCTGTAGGTTCGGATGGAGTCTGATCAGTCTGATCTCGACTGGTCATGGTTGGCCCACGGATGATGGAGTCTGCACGTCTGATCAGTCTGATCTGCGCGTCATCATGGTTGGTCCACCGATGCTCTGCGGGTTCGGATGGAGTCTGATCAATCTGATCTGGACTTGATCATGGTTGGCCCACGGATGCTCTGTGGGTGCGGATGGAGTCTGATCTGTTTGATCTGGACGTCATCAAGGTTGGCCCGTGGATGGTCTGTGAGTCTGATCTGGACGTGATCATCTGTGCGGCCGGATGCAGTCTGATCAGTCTGATCTGGACGTCATCATGGTTGGCCCATAGATGCTCTGTGGGTTCGGGTGGAGTCTGATCAGTCTGATCAAGTCATGGTTGGCCCACGGATGATGGAGTCTGCACGTCTGATCAGTTTGATCTGGACGTCATCATGGTTGGTCCACGGATGCTCTGTGGGTTCGGATGGAGTTTGATCAGTCTGATCTGAACTTGATCGTGGTTGGCCCACGGATGCTCTGTGGGTGCGCATGGAGTCTGATCTGTCTGATCTGGACGTCAACAAGGTTGGCCCGTGGATGCTCTGTGAGTCTGATCTGGACGTGATCATCTGTGGGGCCGGATGCAGTCTGATCAGTCTGATCTGGGCGTCATCATGGTTGGCCCATGGATGCTCTGTAGGTTCGGCTGGAGTCTGATCAGTCTGATCTCGACTGGTCATGGTTGGCCCACGGATGATGGAGTCTGCACGTCTGATCAGTCTGATCTGGACGTCATCATGGATGGTCCACGGATGTTCTGTGGGTTCGGATGGAGTCTGATCTGGACTTGATCATGGTTGGCCCACGGATGCTCTGTGGGTGCGGATGGAGTCTGATCTGTCTGATCTGTCTGATCTGGACGTCATCATGGTTGGCCCATGGATGCTCTGTGAGTCTTATCTGGACGTGATCATCTGTGCGGCCGGATGCAGTCTGATCAATCTGATCTGGGCGTCATCATGGTTGGCCCATAGATGCTCTGTGGTTCGGATGGAGTCTGATCAGTCTGATCTCGGCTGGTCATGGTGGGCCCACGGATGATGGAGTCTGCGCGTCTGATCAATCTGATCTGGACGTCATCATGGTTGGTCCACGGATGCTCTGTGGGTTCGGATGGAGTCTGATCAGTCTGATCTGGACTTGATGATGGTTGGCCCACGGATGCTCTGTGGGTGCGGATGGAGTCTGATCTGTCTGATCTGGACGTCATCACAATTGGCCCGTGGATGCTCTGTGAGTTTGATCTGGACGTGGTCATCTGTGGGGCCGGATGCAGTCTGATCAGTCTGATCTGGACGTCATCATGGTTGGCCCATGGATGCTCTGTAGGTTCGGATGGAGTCTGATCAGTCTGATCTCAACTGGTCATGGTTGGCCCACGGATGATGGAGTCTGCACGTCTGATCAGTCTGATCTGGACGTCATCATGGTTGGTTCACAGATGCTCTGTGGGTTCGGATGGAGTCTGATCAGTCTGATCTGGACTTGATCATGGTTGGCCCACGGATGCTCTGTGGGTGCGGATGGAGTCTGATCTGTCTGATCTGGACGTCATCATGGTTGGCCCATGGATGCTCTGTGAGTCTGATCTGGACGTGATCATCTGTGGGGCCGGATGCAGTTTGATCAGTTTGATCTGGACGTCATCATGGTTGGCCCATGGATGCTCTGTGGGTTCGGATGGAGTCTGATCAGTCTGATCCCGACTGGTCATGGTTGGCCCACGGATGATGGAGTCTGCACGTCTGATCAGTCTGATCTGCACGTCATCATGGTTGGTCCACGAATGCTCTGCGGGTTCGGGTGGAGTCTGATCAATCTGATCTGGACTTGATCATGGTCGGCCCACGGATGCTCTGTGGGTGCGGATGGAGTCTGATCTGTTTGATCTGGACGTCATCAAGGTTGGCCCGTGGATGCTCTGTGAGTCTGATCTGGACGTGATCATCTGTGGGGCCGGATGCAGTCTGATCAGTTTGATCTGGACGTCTTCATGGTTGGCCCATGGATGCTCTGTGGGTTCGGATGGAGTCTGATCAGTCTGATCTCGACTGGTCATGGTTGGCCCACGGATGATGGAGTCTGCGCGTCTGATCAGTCTCCAGACTCCATTCGAACCTGCAGAGCATCCACGGGCCAACCTTGATGACGTCCAGATCAGACAGATCAGATTCCATCCGCACCCACAGAGCATCCGTGGGCCAACCATGATCAAGTCCAGATCAGACTGATCAGACTCCATCCGAACCCACACAGCATCCGTGGACCAACCATCATGACGTCCAGATCAGACTGATCAGACGTGCAGACTCCATCATCCGTGGGCCAACCATGACCAAGTCGAGATCAAACTGATCAGACTCCATCCAAACCCACGGAGCATCCATGGGCCAACCATGATGACGTCCAGATCAAACTGATCAGACTGCATCCGGCCCCACAGATGATCACATCCAGATCAGACTCACAGAGCATCCATGGGCCAACCATGATGACGTCCAGATCAGACAGATCAGACTCCATCCGCACCCACAGAGCATCCGTGAACCAACCATGATCAAGTCCAGATCAGACTGATCAGACCCACGGAGCATCCGTGGGCCAACCATGATCAAGTCC